CGGAAGCAGAATCTGCTGCTGCTGCTGCTGCTTCGCAGCAGCAGCAGATTTGCTGCTGGACTCTTGGGCTGGTTTGCTTCAGTTGAGGTGTTTCGGCGCCGAGTGGTATAGAGACTTAAGGACGAAGCTGCAGCAGCAGCAGCAGCAGCAGCAAGACAGACAACGCATGCGCAACGCCGGAAGCACAAGCAGCAAGAAGAGCAGCAGCAGCGGAACCACCACTAGCAACAGCAGCAACAGCAACAGTAGCAACAGCAGCAGTACCAGCAGCAACAGTAGCAGCAGCAACAACAGCAGCAGCAGCAGCAAGTAAATGCTTACGCCTCCGCCAGCAGCGTTTCAATCTCCTGAGACCCCCAAGTGGTGGTTGGGAAGTTCTGGATAAACAAAATCATCTGCAGCAGCAGAAGCAGCAGCAGCAGCAGCAGCAGCAGCAACTGTAGAGGCTGCTGCAATGTGCCTCCTCCCCCCCCTACAAATAGCATCCGCGGTAGCAGCAGCAGCAGCAGCAGCAGCAGCAGAAGCAGCAACAGCAACAGTACCTGCTGGAAGTCCATTTGCTTCAGCTGCCTCGACCAATTCACAAGAAAAACTGAAGATAGACACAGCAGCAGCAGCAACAGCAGCGCACCAGCTCGATAGACAGGTTTATCAGCAACTGCTTCTTAACTGGCTTTGCTGCATCGATCTGCTGCAGCAATTCATTCATGCCGCGCAGCAGCAGCGGCAACAGCAGCAGCAGCAGAGACATCAAGGCCGCAGCAGCAGCAGTTACACCGACAGCAAAGCGCTGCTAATGCTCCTCAATCTGTTCTTTATTGCTTTAATTGTTAATTTAATTTTTATTCAATTAATAATAATAATATAATAATAATAATATATCAATATAAGAATAAGATAATAACAACAAAATAATAAAGGCAGAAAAAAAACAATAACAACAACCCCACCATTGTCAGCACTGTAAACTCTAATAACTACTTTTATTTTATTCATTTTATTTTGAATTAAGTCCATAGACGCTGCGTCTGCACGGCAGCAGCAGCAGCAACAGCAGCAACAGCAGCAGCAGCAACAGCAGCAGCAGCAGCAGCAGCACCTGCGCATACGTAGACGTGGAAGTCTGAAAATCCCTGTTCTGCGATGTATGTATCCCACAGACGAATAACACAACTCAAAGGAAACTCTCTGCGCAGCAGCAGCAGCAGCAGCAGCAGCAAGAGCAGCACATAGTCCACCACCAGCAGCAGCAGCAAGAGAAACATATCCATCCCAGCAGCAGCAAGAGCACCATATATTCCAGCAGCAGCAGCAGCAGCAGCAGCAACAGCACTCGCTTCATGACGCAGCAGGCGCGGAGGTTCCGAAGTCTCCGCAGCAAATATGAGGGCTACCAGCAGCAGCAAGGTGAGTGAATAGCAGCAGCAGCAGCAACAGCAGCAGCAGCAACAGCAGCAGCAGCAACAGCAGCAGCAGCAACAGCAGCAACAGCAGCAGCACTAAGAACGCACCGCATAAGTAAGCAGTTCATCCACCTAAAAGTCACCTGCAGCAAATCCACCCCTTGAGCTTCCAGGTGCTGGTAAAGGCCTTCTGCAGCAGCAACGCAGCAGCAGCAGCAGCAGCAGCAGCAGCAGATGAGTGCTTACCCTCAGAGCAGCAGCAGCTGCTGCCTAACCAAGACAGCAAAAGAAGCAGCAAAGAATCAGCAGCACAGCAGCAACATCTCCACGGTGCCACAACACCATATATGCAGCACGAAACAGAAGCAGCACCGAAGCAACAGCAGCAGCAGCAGCAACAGCAGCAGCAGCAACTGCAGCAACAGACCATCAACTCTTTTAACGATATCGCGCAATCGGACGACGAGACGCCGAATGCCCGGCTGCCCAAACGTATAATGGTCCTGCAGCAGCAGCAGCAGCAGCAGCAGCAGCAGCATAATGCTGAAGGATTAAAGCACAATGTCGCGAGCTGCTGCTATCCACACAACAGACCGCGAATCAACAGCTGCTGCTGCAGATGCTGCTGCAGCAAAGCATTACTCTCGGGATACACTCAAGCAACATCAGCAGCAGCAGCAGCAGCAGCAGCAGCACACCTGCAGCAGCAGCAGAAGCAGCATACCTGGATATGGGCAAGGAGCTTAGCGAGACACCAGAAGCTGTCTGCCTCAACCTGCAGCAAAACCTCTTCGTCTACCTGCAGCAGCAGCAGCTCCGCAGCATCCCAATTGCTGCAGCAGCAGCAGCAGCAGCAACTGCTCCTGCTGCTGCTGTTACTAGTGCCGCTGCAGTGCTTAGATTGCTGCAGGTCCTCACCTCATCAATGGGAAGCCCCTCAGGGTCTCTCCCTGCAGCGCACCAACACCTCTAAACCCTAAACCCTAAACCCTAAACCCCAAACCCTAAACCCCAAACCCTAAACCCTAAACCCCAAACCCTCGTTCCAAGTCCTCTGCTACTTTCCCCTCTTAGAGGCAGCAGAGCCTTCTGGTTGTACAGAGTCTACACGATGTTTCAGACTAAACCCTAAACCCTAAATTCTAAACCCTAAACCCTAAACCCTAAACCCTAGACCAAGAAGTTACCTAGAGCTGCGTGGAGAAACACAGCGACGAATGGAGTCAACAGATCGTTGATGCCCTGAGGGACCTCAATGACAGCAAACCCTAAACCCTAAACCCTAAACCCTTAACCCTCAGTCCTAAAACCTAAATCCTAAACCCTAAACCCCAACGCACCTGTACGTATCCGCTCGCTGGGTGTTTCACAGCCCATAGAAAGAGCGCGCGCTCCATACCCCTGCAGCAGCAGCAGCAGCAGCAGCAGCAGCACAGCAGCAGCAGCAACAAGCAGCAGCATGAATGCGTATGCGCTGCGACCTCTCCTCAGCCCCTCAGCTGTCTCCAGAGCCTAGGGCCTTACCCCCTTCCCTTGGGTTTGCAGCTTGGTGTTTATTAGGGTTTACTAGGGTTTATAAGTTTATGAGGGTTTATAAGGGTTTAATTTATTAGGGTTTATAAGGGTTTCTTAAGGCTTATTAGGGTATATTATGGTTTCTAAGGGTTTATTAGGGTTTATAAGGGTTTCTAAGGGTTTATAACGGTTAAAAAGGGTTTAAAAGGGTTTATAAGGGTTTATAAGGGTTTATTAGGGTTTAGGGTTTATTGGGGTGTATACAGCTGAATGCGAGGATGAGCAAAAAACTTTCGTCCTGCATGCGTCCTAGGCAGATCCACCCGCAGCTGTTTTAAAAGTTTAACTTCTTCAGCAGAGGGGTCTCCTCTGCTGTAGTATTGCTGCACACACAAAACAAAGGGTTTAGCAGCCTTTCCTAGGGTTTAGTAGGGTTCTGTAAAGTTTGCGGGGGTTTACTAGGGCTTAATTAGGGTTTATTAGGGTTTATTAGGGTTTATTAGGGTTTACGAGCGTTTATTAGGGTTCATTAAGGTTTAGTACAGTTTTAAAGGCTTTCTTAGGGTTTATTAGGGTTTGAGGTTTACTAGGGTTTAGGGTTTATTAAGGTTTAGGGTTTACGAGGGCTTATTAGGGTTTAGGGTTTACGAGGGTTTATTAGGGTTTATTAGGGTTTAGGGTTTAGGGTTTAGAAATACCTCCACAAGCTCGTGGTAGTCAGCCCTCTTCTTCGCAAGGGCTGCAGCAACAGCAGCAGCAGCAACAGCAGCAGCAACAGCAAAATAAATCAACAGCAGCAAAAGAACACAAGAAAAAGCAACGCAAGACATACGTGCCAGCAGCAGCAGCAGCATCAGCAACAGCAGCAGCAGCAGCAAAGCAAACCACCGCAGCTTCAAACCCTAGATCGTATAAACCCTAAACCCTAAACCCTAAACCCTAAGCCCTAAACCCTCATATTCAAACTACCTGCATCCTTCCTGTCGCGGGTGAGCGGCAAATACCCCTGAGAAACCCGCATACATACTAAACCCTAAACCCTAAACCCTAAGCCCTAAACCCTAAACCCCAGGTACCCACTCAGCCACCGCTGCTGCAGGCATATGGACATGCCCAGCAGTAGACAGCTGCAGCAGCAGCAGCAGCAGACGCACGCGCCGCAGCAGCATCACAACGAAAATTCAACACCATCAGCAGAAGGAGCAGCAGCAGCAGCAACAGCAGCAGCAGCAGCAGCAGCAGCATACCAGCATGATCCGCCAGGCATCGCTCCGGACTTCTGGGGAGCAGCAACTCGGCACTCCGCCCCACAGCAGGTTTCTCAGCTCCCCTGCAGCAGCAGCAGCAGCAGCAACAATAACAATAGCAGCAGCTGTACGCAACTTGCCGTAGGCAGAAACGGCAAAAGCAGCAGGAGCCGCAGCAGCAGCAGCAGCAGCTGCTGCTGCTGCTGCTGTCCCCGCTGTAACGGGTAAGAGCGGTGCCTATGATGCTGCTGGAGCTGCTGCTCGTGATGCTGCTGCTGCTTTTGATGCTGCTGCTGCTGCTGCTGTATGCATGAAAGGCCCTCACCCGCGTCTATAACATCACGGCTTAGAAGCTGCTGCAAGCGCTCGGCTCTCACAGACTTGTTGGTGCCGCTGCTGCTGCTGTTGTTGCTGCTGCTGTTGCTGCTGCTGCTGCTGCTGCTGCTGCTGCTGCTGGTATCCATTGTGCTATGAGGCAATCCCGAGTCCCCCTGAGGCATCCGCGCGGGTTCGGGGGGCAGCAGGGGCGTTGGTTGGCATCGCCTGCTGCTGCTCTCGGTTTTGCTGCTGCTGCTGCTGCTGCTGCTGCTGCTGCTGTTGCTGATGCTGCTGCTTCTACTTTTGCTGCTGCTGTTGCTGTTGCTGCCGTGACTCATTGCTGCACCCAGTGCAGCAGCAGTAGCAGCAGCACGGCTAACGGCTGCCCCTGGAAGGCCCAGGCATCCCCTTAGAGGGAAATCTGTTGCTGCTGCCGTTGCTGCTGTGGCTGCTGCTGCTGCTGCTGTTGCTGCTGCTCTTACTGCCCTCCCTGCTTCTGTCCAGCTCTCCTGTACTGCGGTTGGTGAAGCAGCAACTTAAAATGCGGCTGCTTCTGCTGCTACTGCTGCAGCTGCAGCAGCAGCAGCAGCTGGGAAGGACTCCGGGGCTGCTGCTGCGGAAGCAGAGCAGCAGCAGCGCAGCAGCGCAACAGCAGCAGCTGCTTCGAGTAACGCTGCGGGGTGTACAAACACAGCAACAGCAAAAAGAAGACAGGAAGTGCAGCAGGAGCAGCAGTTGCTGCTAAGCTGCGGCTGCTGCCTTCGTCGGCAGCGCCGCTGCTTAGCAGCAGCAGCAGCAGCAGCAGCAAGAGCAGCTGGGCGTGCTGCTGTCTGACGAGAAATAACAGCGCCCTTGCGCTGTTAACTCTCAAGTTATATTTCAAGACTGAAAGCGATCAAATGTTCGCTGCTGCTGCTGCTGCTGTGGCTGCAGCAGCAGCAGCAGCAGCTATTGTCGTTCTACTACTACAGGGGCTGGCTTCCGAGCAGCAGCAGAAGCAGCAGCAGCAGCTGCTGCTGCTATTGGGTGTTAAGGCAAAATCCACATAGAATTACATTTATTTTACTTATTGAGTATTGTCTTGAAACAGAGACAGCAGCAGCAGCAGCTGTTGCTGCTGCTGCTGCTTCTGCTGTTGCTGCTGTCTCTATACTGCACACCTGCAGCAGAATTTGTTTTGTTAGAGTCTAACGACATATTTATTATTATTTCTACATTGAGCAGATGCATACGCGAACCACTCCTACCATTGCTGCAGCTGCTGCTGCTGCTCTCCCTGCTGCTGCTGCTGCTGTTGCTGCTGTTGCTTCTAATGCTGCTGCTTCTATTGCTGCTGCTGCTGCTGCTGCTGGCGATACAGTGGCTCTCCATCAGCCTCTCTATTGCGGGTGTGCGAGGGTTTAGGGTTTAGGGTTTAGAGTACACCTACAGTAGGCGAGGCTGCTCCGAAATGTATAGACTTAAACTACTAATATGATATGCTGCTGCTGCTGCTGTTGCTGTTGCTGCTGCAACAGCAGAAGAAGCAGCAGCAACAGCAGCAGAAGCAGCACAATGTGTAGAACGACGCATATCAACTGCAGCAGCAGCAGCAGCTGCTGCTGCTGCTGCTGCTGCTAGATGCGTGCATTGCTGGAGACACGCCTCAAATGCATACGAAGCCAACTGAACTCCAGCAGCAGGAGCAGCAAGAGCAGCAGCAGCAGCAGCTTTGCTGTCCTTTTTTATTTATTTGTTTATTTTGTTATCTCGTTTTGTTTGTTCACTCCGCTGTATTTCTTTTTATTTCTTTATCGCGCCCCATTTGTTGCTTTTGCCTATTTAACTCGCTGCTGCTGCAAGAGCAGCAGCAGCAAACGCAGCAGCAGAAAGAGCAGCAACATCAACAGCAGCAGCAGCAGGCGCAACAACAGCAGGCGCAGCAACAGCAGCAGCAGCAGCGACAGGAGCAGCATGTAGCCAAAAAGAGACAAAAAGTGCCAGTTTGCTGCTGCTGCTGCTGCTGCAGCAGCAGCAGCAACGCCGCTGTTGCAGCAGCGGCGCAGCTCCCTCAGAACGAGAGACAGACAAAGGAAGTCCTTTCGCCCACTGTGTTACAACAACCTTCAGCAGCAGCAGCAGAAGCAGCAGCAGCAGCAGCAGCAAACGACGACGCCTTTAGCTTCTGCTGCTTCTGCTGCTGCTGCTGCTGCTTAGTACTGTGCTGCAGCATCTGCCATCCAATGACTGAGGCTTTCAGGCAGCTGTGCAGGTCTGAGTAGAGCCCTCCTCGCTAGCTGCTGCAGATGCTGTCTTTTACTTGCTAGCTGCAGCAGCAGCTGCTGATGAGACCAGGCTAAGCCGCATACTTCTTCCGCCTCTGCTGCTGCTTTCTCTCTCCCCAGTGAACGAAGCAAAGCTGCTGTTTGCTGCACATGCAGACGATCCGATGTTTTTATCAAAAAACGCCTGTTGCTGCTGCTGCTGCTGTTGCTGCTGCTGCTGCTGCTGCTGCTGCTGCTGCTCTTGTGGGGACTTGGAGGCGCTGGTGATGCTGAAGAAACAGGAGACAGAGACGGTTGCTCGGTTTGTGCTGCAGTTCCTGCTGCTGCTGCTGCTGCTGCTGGTGATCCTGCTGCAGCTTCTGTTCCTGCTGCGCCTTCTGCTGCTGCTGCTGCTGCTGCTGCATCGGTGCTGCGCTTCGATAGCAGCAAATCTCTCGCCTCCTCTATTCTCCTCCACATGGGATCCACCGATCCCCGGGGTGGGGCCTCAGGCGGCAGCGGCTTTTGCTGCTGCAGCATATTCAACTCCATCTCTATGACTGCAGCAGCAACAGCAGCAGCAGCAGCAATCGCAGCAGCACCATCCAATTCACATGCAAAAAACATAACACCAACGGTAGCACCCTTCCGCTGCATCTGCAGGCGACGCTGCAGCAGTAGCGGCATGTACACCAGCAGAAACAGCAACAGAAACAGCAGCAGCAGCAGCAGCAGCAACAGCAACAGCAGCAACAGCAGCATCTCACAGGCCCGCCTATCAGAGTTCATCTCCAAGACGTCGTCTACAATGGCGCACCAACCAGCGCCGCTGGCGCAGCTGTTCGGGTCATTCTGCAGCAGCAGCAGCAGCAGCAGCAGCAGCAGCAGCAATAGCAGCAGCAGCAATAGCAGCAGCAGCAACAGCAGCAGAAGTAGCAGCAAAAGCAGTAGAGCCCTCGCAGCGCAAGACTCTGAGCCACATAGAAAGGCTACTTCGCTCGGTGTGCTGCCCTAAGGCAGCAACAGCAGCAGCAACAGAAGCAAGAGCAGCAGCAGCAACAGCAGCAACCACAGCAGCAACCACAGCAGCAGCAACAGCAGCAACCACAGCAGCAACAGCAGCAGCAGCAGCAGGAAATACCGAAGGATTGCTTGACAAGGGGTGCAGCTGCTGCTTCTGATGTCTCTTAATAGCAGCAGAGACATTCTGCAGCACACGGCTGCCCTGAGACCCTCCAAGCCCTGCTTTTGCTGCTGCATCTGAAGCAGCAGAAAACCAGGATAGTACTAAGCCACCAACAGCACCTAATCGAGCGGGAGGAGGAGACGTCTGCAGCAGCAGCAGCAGCAGCAACAGCAGAAGCAGCAGCAGCAGCAGATGCAGAAAGAGAAAATATACATGTATATATATATACATATATATATATATATATGCAGCTGCTGCCGCTCCGGAGGACAGGAAGCAAAATAAAAAGCAAAACAGCATACACACAACAAACACCACCACAAGCAGCAGCAGCAGCAGCAGCAGCAACAGCAGCAACAGCTGCAGCAGCAGAACCGCCAGCAACAAAACCAGCAACAGCAGCAAGACCAGCAGCAGCAACAGCAGCAAAACCAACAGCAGCAGCAGCAGCAGCAGAACCACCACCACCACCACCACCACCACCAGAACCAGCAGCAGAACCAGCAGCAGAACCAGCAGCAGCAGCAGCAGCAGCAGCAGCAGCAAGTTGTCTTGCCTTTGCAATAGTAACCACTTCAACGATATCTGTCGCCCCTAAAATTGCTGCCTCCATTCGACGCAGCCGCGCGCAAACCAACTTGCAAACGAAGACCCAACCCTCTTCAAAGAACTGACTGAAAGCATCAAACCCTAAACCCTAAACCCTAAACC